GCAATTTTCCTGCCTCAACCTCCTGAGTAGCTGGGACTACAGGCGCCAGCCACCATGCCCGGCTAATTTTTTGTATTTTTAGTAGAGACGGGGTTTCACTGTGGTCTCAATCTCCTGACCTTGTGATCTGCCCACCTCGGCCTCCCAAAGTGCTGGGATTAAAGGCATGAGCCACCGTGCCTGGCCCTAACTTGTAAACTTCAATTAATCTTCTAGATGTCAGCTTCACATTGTTTGGGAGACCTTTCTGTACTCTGCTTGTAAGGACTATTCTTCTTCCCTGCTGCTATAGTACCTTGGATTATACCTCTGTTTTACCTCTTATAACATTGTAATATTACTGTTTGTACATTTGCAAGGCTATGGCTTTCTCCTCCACTGATCTGTGGACTCTCTGAGGCAAGGACCATGCTGAATGCGTTTCTATATCCCCAGCACTGTGCATGGTGCCTACAGGTAGTAAGTCTTTGATAAGTTTGGGTTAATATTTTGATAAGTCTAAGCTAGGGGAATTTTATAAAAATTATGACAGTGTGGCCTATGGATACAATGGTACTTTTTTTTGGCTGGAGTGCAGTGGGGTGATCTCAGTTCACTGCAACCTCTGCCTCCCGGGTTCAAGAGATTCTTGTGCCTCAGCCTCCTGAGTAGCTGGGATTACAGGTGTGCCCCTGCTAATTTTCGTATTTTTAGTAGAGGTAGGGTTTCACCATGTTGGCCAGGCTGGTTTTGAATGCCTGGCCTCATGCAGTCCATCCACCTTGGCCTCCCAAAGTGCTGAGATTACAGGCGTGTAATTAGCCACTGCACCTGGCTCAGTGTTGCTTATTAGACCTGTATTTGGGGTCTTCAGTTATTCTCATGGCTCATTTTGCAGCTTTGGATAAATCACTTCTCATTTGTAAAATCAGAGGCTCATCGTTTTCATACTATAGGTTGGGAGGAGCCCTGCAGAATTGAATGAGAAGGCATATAGAATTTAGGTGGCAGCACAGGAAGAGTACTAGTGTTTTGGAACCAGCTACTTCAAGAATACTGGTCCCGTAGGTTCTAGGTGGATCAATCTCATAGACTTGTAGAATTTTATTTTATCTGGAAAGGAAGTGAGAGATAGGTAGTTGTAGTTATAGCTTTCTATTTTATAGACGAAGAAGTTGAGCCTCAGAGAGGTTAAGTGACTTGCCTAAGGTCATATAGCTGTATCTTTATGTTTAGGACTTCCCACATTTCTTGACACATAGTCTAGGATTATCTCTGTTTTGTTTTGCTACTTTAACTGGTTGTACACACCAGTTAGGAGAGATATAAGGGCTAGGATAATATGGAATTCTTGTGACCTCTGGGGTCATTGCACTGTCCTCAGAATGTCCTGTATAGCTGCTAGAACTGAAAGGTTTCCTACTGGGGCTGTAGAACTTATGACTGCTGCATCTTTTTAGTTACTCTGCTTGCCCGGGGTCCTACAAACAGGACACAGAAGGGTCATGGGGTCACCCAAGACTGAACTGAAAGGATGTGCCATCAAAATAAGCAACATGGAATAGGAAGATAAACAAACCAGGGAGAGAGCTCGGGATGAAGGCACAGGGGGGCCAGGGCTGGTGTCAGAGGGCCATGCGGTCATTGCCTGGGGTCAGTTTTTAAAATTCTCATTGGGATTATTACTAGGCAAGAGGCTACAGACAATAAGGCACAGGGGGCAGTAGGCCAGGCAGGTTGCTAGGATACTGAGGCTCGGGAAAATAAGAATTGAGCAGGGGTTACTTCTCCCTATTTGGTCCTTTTGTTTTTCCACTTTCTCTAAGAGCCTCTGATTTCTCAATTCTGGGGAACCCAAGGAGCCAATTGATAGTGGCCTAACTAGAGGGGGAATACTGACAATGTTGACTCAAGTCAAGGCTGGGTAGTGTGCCTGTTGGCATGATCTTCATGGAGGCCAAGAACCCTATATAGGGCATTTTATAGGACTGGGAGTTGAGAGGCATCTTTAGGAGTGAAAGAAGAGTCAGGGACTTAGGGACTGTTGTTACATGGCAGTAGGAACTATATGAAAAAGGAAGTTTAGGATGACTGGGCAGAGCCCACTCTCAGTCTAGTCCACTGGAGGGAGTTCCTTCCCCTGGCCCTGTCCATGCCTCACTCTCTCCATCTGGTTGCCATCAGGCTGTGTGGCTGCTGGCGGGCTCTTTATTTATTTATCCCAGTGTAATGGGGTGAGGAGGGAGCTGGCCTAAGGCTGGCATTCCAAGGCCATGCCACTGAGCCACAGGCGGTTTGCATGGGTGTGTGAGTCACTGGGGCTGCATGCTGCTCAAACCAGACGCGGCCAGGCTCAGGGACAGCAGGCAGCCCAAAATAGAGCCCCGCCCTCTACAGCTGGCAACCCCTGGCTAGGAATCAGCTCTTGACACCAAAACCTGGGCAGTTGCATGAAGTTGGCTTCCTTTGGTAGGGGTCCCTTAGCAGAGATGGAGATTTTGCAATTCTTTCCTCCTCTTTCTTCATAGGAGGGTATTCAGCATAGCAGTTGTTCTTACTGCTGCATTCTGAATGCCTTATAAGTCTTAAATAATCTGTTCAGTATAATACCTTAGCTAAGAAATTAGGGGGCTATAGTTAACGTTGATTTGACTTAGCATCCTAAATGCAGCCATGGTTGTTATATTCTGTCTAGTTTTAGTTACTGTCTTCAGCTCCTGTCTGGTTGCAGCCTGATTCTAGAGCAGATACTTTAAGCTATGAAGATAGTCACTGCTGCTC